AATGACATTTTTGTAATTATGATTATACATTTAAAAATGTTTGACATTGCATTCGTAGATAGTTGACTGACATTTTCAAATTCACAATTATAATTACATAAATATTACTGTATTTTTTTTTTCCAACTTTTGATCATCTTATATGGGCAAATAAAATTAGTTTGCACGTTCTCATGAAAATCCTAATTTTGATCAGAACACACATACATATATAATCATAATTAGGTGCGAACCAACCTTAATATGTGAACTACGGAAGGATTGCACCGCAACGGCTCCCAAACATGCCTGAAGGAACTTTGCAGTACAATCGTATCCAGTGCGGTGCAATCTTTTAGTAGTTCGCAGATTCGCACATTAAGGTTAGTTCGCACTTGATTATGGAATCCTCTCTATATATAATATTAAAAATTTGGGTACAATGATAACAAGAAAGCATCATCACAAGTCACAACAAGAAATAATATGAATACGAGTTTTATATATGTGGAAGTACGTAGGTGACAAGTAAATATGTGTATCTGATACATATAAAATGAGATTGTCGGAATGTACTTAGTTAAATAATAATGGAGAAGAAGATGACAATGAGAAGATCAGAGTTGAAGAGATCAGAGCATCTGGACATGGCCGCCTTAGCTTCTTCATGATATATGGTTTGCCCGGCCTTTGGATTACTCAGTCACCACTTCAAGAAAATTAACTGTTCATTACTGATGGGTAAAATCATCGGTACAGTAAAGAATAAAAAATCATCATAAAAGATTTTAATGAGTGAAAATTTCTCTTTACAATATGGTAGTTTGGATACAGTTGGTTTGGTATATATTTGACCTCGACCTAAGTGGTTGTATTCGGTCCAAATGATCGACTTAGGCTGTATAGTATAAATTTGGAGATCACGTTATCTCATTTATGAGAAGTGTTGATAGGAGATCTTTGGACCATTTTTAAAATGTCAACAAGAATTAAACTTAAATTTTTTTGTATAAAAATATAATTATGTTCCACCTACTCGTTCACCTCTTCCGAATCAACATTTCCCATTGTGTTATGTTACGTTGTGTTCTAAGTTATCCAAATGCTTTTAATTCCAATATATATCACACAAATGCGTGCATTGCATATATACATACTACAAGCAGCTAACTACCTAGAGATATGGAATATAATAAAGATTTGAAAATGATAAATCATGGGAAATGTAACACACATTTCATATATAATTATAAGTTGGTGCCACTTCATTTTCCAACATCTTTTTGTAATTTGGACAAAAGTCCAAAGCCAATACTATCATTTTCTAATTTTATGGGCAAAAAGCCAACTTGAATATTGCCTTCAAAATCATATCTTTTGCTTCCTTACATAATATAAGGTTAGTTATATTGTAGGGTATATATACTATTTTCTTCTCTATACAAGATATTTTATTATCATTTTAATATAATTTATTCATTTTCATAATTATAATTAAAATTTTAATAATTTTATTTATTGAGTATTTTAATTGAATTTTGTTTCTCGTTATCTCAAACTATACAAACACACGTGTATTGACTTTGTAGGTATGAACAAATTATATAATAGTACAATTGAGACTCTAATTATTTATAATTTTAAAGATTAAAATAATAATTATTTGCTTGTTTTGCGTAAAATAAAAATAATGGCCAAACATTTTTTTAAATTAACTAAAGTACCTAGAACGTCCTTGTACTCAATATAATTTCGTTCATGACTTCATTTACTTTAATTTGTGCAATTTAGTTCTTTATTAGTACGTCCCTATACGTTTATAAATAATATAATTAAAGACAATCATTAACACCATTAATATATATATATATATATATATATATATATATATATATATATATATATATATATATATATATATATATATATATATATATATATATCAAGATCAAAGAGAACAAGGTATGCTAGCAATCAATCTACTAATGGTTGGAAAATCTCACCCAAAAAAAAAAAAAAGAAAAAAAAACTAACGGTTGGAAAATAAAGGGGGAAAAAACTAGAAAAATGATATGTCAATTTTCTAAATATTACAAACTCTCATAATTGAGTTTTTTTTTTTTTTTTTTTTTTTGGTTAAAATAAAATTATGTGTAAATAATGAAAAGTGCTATCAATCTTAATTATATATTCTTCCCAATCTTAATTATATATGTTTTGCCAAATGATCCACCACAATCTTACAAAAGTGAGATTATATTTTGTAAATTTTGACATAGAAGACAAATAATTAAAGAATTGAAAACTCTTTTTACTTTTTTTTTTTTTTCATAGAATAAAATTTTTAGTTGCCCAAAATTGAAAAGTGCAACCAAGCAGATAAGCATCCATGACTAAATAATATTCGATCATACATACTACGTATGTAAACCATAGTACTTGGAAGTCTTTAATTATATGGAATTGGAAGAATCAAGTGTGATTAAAATGGTGGCTTCATTATATTCCCCTTTTGTCAGTTTGCCATACCCAAAAATTAATTAATTAAGAACCCAATGAAGATTCCTACAATGAACAATCTTTAATTTGGCTATTTTTTTTTTTTTTTAGAGATTAAAAATGAGAAGAATTTTAAACGTTAGTTTCATTAGTCTCTCATCGAAACTCTTAAATAGTTTGTGAAATTCTTGCATAATCGGTTGAAGTTTGTGCTTTTTAATTCTTGCACATTACTACATTAAACTAGCTTGTCATCGAAACTCTTATACTTTGTGAAATTCTTGCTTAATCGGTTAAAGTTTGTGCTTTGTAATATTTGCACATTACCACATTTTACGTAATTCTACTTTGTTTGTGTGTTTCTATAATAAAGAAAAATAAACATTTTATTTGTGTTTATCTAACGCATACTCTCAAATAGTAGTGGTTGAGGATTTATCTCTTCACTAAATAATAATAATAATAATAATAATAATGATAATAATAATAATAATAATAATAATAATAATAATAATAATAATAATAATAATAATAATAATAATAATAATAATAATCCTATATAGGGAATTAGGAGCACAACTTTCTTCTTCATATGACAAGACTTACTACTCTTATCATATACTACATTTTTAGACATTAATGTGTTAGTGACGTAAAACTAACATGTTAAAATTTAGTAGTCCGACATTATCACATTACCAAACAAGCATTTATAATTTTCAATGTTTAAAAATAAATAAATAAAATTTTAAAAATTAGAAGAATCCTTCTCCTCTTACCTTGGACGCAGCTCAACTGATCTACCAAGTTAAAATAAATTGAGAGGCTTTACTTTGCCAACAGTTGTGATGCAGTTAATGCATATTCAACGATTTACTTTCTCCACCAGTTTTTAGAAAAAGAGCATTGGTGAGTCCTTTAAATTAGGGGTTCAAATTTTAAAAATATACTTTATATAATTCTTTATGCAACATTTCCATTTTTTGAAAAAAAAAATTAAAAAAATACACCAGGTCTCATTTTACCTATCTTATTTACTCATTATATTCATCAAATAATTAAGGGATGAAAAACGACATGGGATATATGTCATGTTTGGTAAATGACTTTTTAGTATAGCTTGTAACTTTTTTATTGAGCTATTTGCCCAACTAATATAGATGTTTGCCTGTTTGGTAAATTATTGTTAAAGACCAACTTTTTGGATCCAAAAACAAAAACTAATTTTGAAAAAGGTAATCTATTGAGATATTCAAAGATATTAATAATCTTGTTTGGTCTTTTATATGTGTCTCTTTGTTTTTTCAAAATTATATATATTTATTTTCTCATATTTTCAATATCTTAAAAATATGAGACATTGAAAATATGAGACAATAAATGCATATACTTTGGAAAAACAAAGAGACACATAAGAAACACCAAGTTGACAAAATAAATCCATAAAAAAGAAGTAAAAACAAAACTTAATTACTGTGGTAGTCTAAAAGTTTCACATACCACATTAGTGATGGCAACCAACACCTTCTTGGCCTTCTCAATTTGAGATTAATAACTATGAACAACTCAGATTAGTTTACCTCCTTTATGATTCTTTGTCGACTAAAATCACAAGATAAATTTCACTTAGAGTGAACTGTCGCGACTATAAATTTTCTCGTAAATAAAACAAAGTATCAAGAACTTATTGTTTGGGATCGGACCAAGTCATATAAAGTGAATAGTGGTCGTTAACCAGATGCCGGCAGCAACGTGGTACTTGAACATTCAAACTGGATAAGCATCAAGAAACCTTAGCTTCCTCTATTTGACATCAGACAATGGCATCAGGTTGCTGTGAGAAATGGAGAAAATTGAGTGATTCCTGCACAAAGAGACAAGAAAGTTTACATAAACATTATATGTAACCAATTTAAAATCTGTAAGGAAGGAAGACTCACACAACTTAACACATGAGCTAAGGTAACAACACAAATTTTAATAATGTAGAGTGACATACATCCAATAGTTGTCAGGCATCTACTCAAGTTGTCTTACTCTATATTGCAACTGCTGATGATGCCATAAAGTTTGCTTCTTTTTCAATAAAATTGGGATTATGTAATCCCACACCAGCCAGCCTGTGTTTTGCCCACCGGAGCCAAACACCAACTAAACTAAAATAAAGGACCTGTTTGGGACAATAATTAGTCTATCAATTAATTTTGATTTATTTAATCACTATTAACTGTTTTACTTGGTTAAACAATTAATATGAGTGTTTGATTAATTAGTTTTTATAACAATTTATTGTTTCAAAATGTTGTTCAAAGTAGCTTTTTCAATCAGCTTTTTAAGAAAGTCATTTTGCATGCAATCAACTAAGAACTAATTTACCAAATACTTTTCTACAGTTAATTCTATCAACTAGTGGCTAGTCAAACCCACTTATAACCCAATCAGCTACCAGCTATTAACTAACAATTATTTATCAAATACTCTAAAATATAATTTTTTTAAAAAAAATGATATAAAATAATCAGATCCAATCTCTTACAGGGATGAAAATGCCTTTATTCTTTACATGGAAGTTACCACAGACTGCTTAGTATAAATCGTGGCCTTGTTTGTTATCAATAACTCCACCTAGCTTCTTGTTCAAAGCCTAAAGGCTAAATTCTCTGAGATTGAGGTTTGAGGCTGATCGAATTGTTGTGAGACATGGCGGTTTCTTGCGGGCTAGTCACAAGAATACACCAGCCTTGCTTCACACCAGCTAGAAGAAGACTTAACAACAACATTGGAAGCAGTAAGGTTAGTTGGTGAGATTTTCAAGCTTTTTTAATGGCTGAATCTGAATGGAATAGTGACTGAGTATCGATCATGGTGTTGTTGTTTCAGTTTTGCATAAGAGCTTGTGATGGCGGCCCAGAAGGGGATTCGAAGAAGATGATGATGATAAGAAAAGAAAAAGACGGGTGGGAGATTGATTTCTCAGGTGATAAACCCCCTACACCATTGCTAGACACCATCAACTATCCAGTTCATATGAAGAACCTATCTACACCGGTATAACAGTAGTACACACAATTACACAAACCATTCTTCATTAATGATGTTTTAATTTACTGTCAATTTTGTATTTAGGATCTCGAACAATTAGCAGCAGAGCTAAGAGCAGAGATTGTGCATAGCGTAGCCAAAACCGGAGGGCATCTAAGCGCTAGCTTAGGAGTGGTGGAGTTGACAGTGGCTCTACACCATGTTTTCAACACCCCAGATGACAAAGTAATATGGGATGTAGGCCATCAAGTAAGAACTTAAACTCCATTTCGTTAAAAAGTTTTTTCTTCAAAAGACTAGACTAATGCAGAGACAAAAAAAAACCCAGACATATGCACATAAAATCTTGACAGGAAGGAGGTCTAAAATGCACACCATAAGGAAGACTTCAGGACTAGCAGGCTTTCCAAAACGGGACGAGAGCACGTATGATGCTTTCGGTGTAGGCCACAGTTCAACCAGCATTTCAGCTGGTGTTGGTATGGCTGTGGCAAGAGACCTATTGGGGAAGAACAATAATGTGATATCAGTGATCGGAGATGGAGCAATGACAGCAGGACAAGCATACGAGGCGATGAACAATGCAGGGTTTCTCGATACTAACCTCATCGTCGTCCTCAACGACAACAAGCAAGTTTCTTTACCAACAGCCACACTCGACGGCCCAGCTACTCCTGTTGGTGCACTCAGTACTGCTTTAGCCAAACTCCAAGCAAGTCCCAAATTTAGACAACTCCGCGAGGCTGCAAAAGTAAGTAAATCCATCTTTATATAATTCAATTTTCATATGGCTTGACAATAATACATATGGTCTGTTTATAGAGTGTGACAAAGCAAATTGGAGGGAGAGCACATGAAGTTGCAGCAAAAGTAGATGAATATGCAAGGGGGATGTTAAGTGCTTCGGGGTCTACTCTCTTCGAGGAGCTAGGATTGTACTATATCGGTCCAGTAGACGGGCACAATCTTGATGATCTCGTAACCATTTTTCAGAAGGTAAAAGCAATGCCAGCACCGGGACCAGTTCTAATCCATATTGTAACCGAGAAAGGAAAAGGATACCCCCCTGCAGAGGCAGCAGCTGATAAAATGCATGGTAATTCACACAACTCAAAAAAAAAAAAAAAGATTTTGCCTTTCAAGAATGGAATATACTAAACTCGGGTTTTTTTTTAGGGGTGGTACAATTTGATCCCAGAACAGGAAAGCAATTCAAGTCAAAATCACCAACGCTTTCTTACACTCAGTACTTTGCTGAATCTTTGATAAAAGAAGCTGAAATAGATGACAAGATTGTAGCTATCCACGCAGCTATGGGCGGTGGAACCGGCCTCAATTACTTCCAGAAAAAGTTCCCGGAGCGCTGCTTTGATGTGGGCATTGCTGAACAACACGCAGTCACTTTTGCAGCTGGCTTAGCCACAGAAGGCCTTAAACCATTTTGCACTATCTATTCATCATTCTTGCAGCGAGGCTATGATCAGGTGAACAATTTTGACCGGTTACTAATGTACTTCAGAATGTGAGCATATAGCCATTAATGTGCAATCCAACTATCAGCTTAGACTTTTAGTTGAGATGGAGCACATGCTTCAATTCAGAATACTTACAGTGGAAATTGATTATATGAATGTGAAGGTAGTGCACGACGTTGATCTTCAGAAGTTGCCTGTCCGGTTTGCAATGGACCGAGCTGGATTGGTTGGGGCAGATGGACCGACACATTGTGGAGCATTTGACATTACATACATGGCTTGCTTGCCCAACATGGTGGTCATGGCTCCTTCAGATGAAGCGGAGCTGATGCACATGGTGGCCACAGCAGCAGCAATCGACGATAGGCCATCCTGTTTCAGGTTCCCGAGGGGAAACGGGGTTGGTGTACCGCTTCCTCCTAACCTCAAAGGAACACCACTTGAGGTACCAAGTTAACTAGTTTATGAAATTCAGAATAGTTCATCACAGAGCCAAACCAGAATTACTAAAACAAGCTCAAATTGAACAGATTGGAAAGGGAAGAATACTGAGAGAAGGCAGTGGAGTTGCAATCTTGGGATACGGTTCTATAGTCCAACAATGTCTGGGAGCTGCAGAAATGCTGAATTCCATTGACATATCAGTAACAGTGGTTGATGCTCGATTCTGCAAACCGTTAGATGCTGATCTTATAACAAGATTGGCTAAAGAGCATGAAATTCTTATCACTGTAGAAGAAGGATCAATAGGAGGTTTTGGATCCCATGTATCACATTTCCTAAGCTTAAATGGCATACTGGATGGACCACTTAAGGTATGTATCCTAATTTTTCCAGAATGTAACATTTAAAACGGATTCTGATTCATTATGGGATTGGAATTTTGTGTGCAGTTGAGGTCAATGGTTCTTCCTGATAGATACATCGACCACGGGTCACCCCAAGATCAGATGGAAGCAGCAGGGTTATCTTCCAGACACATAACTGCAACAGTGTTGACACTACTGGGGAGGCCTAAAGAAGCACTTACATTAAAGTAAAATCTACTGTATAATCAAAACACTGGAATTCTTATGATGTTTATGTTTTGTCTTCATGCGAAATCACAGGTTCTTAAAACCCAACTTTGGAATCTCAGAAGAAGAGAGATCATAGATCACGGCATATATAGTATTTAGCATAGCAAGGTTATATATATGTGGATTGGATTATATAAACATGAATTGAGAACAAAACAAGGGACAAATCCTGCATTCCTGCCTGCCAATGTTCTCGTCTGTTACCATGTAATAGGGGACTAATGTTCAAGACTAGCATATATATATATATATATATATATATATATATATATATATAACGAATTGCCTAATACTAGAAAGAACGATTCACAGTAACAACTAAACATTCACAAAGTATGAAGAACCAAAGCTAGAAAGAAAAAGTGAATTCAGCAGAGGATCCATTCCTTTAATGGTATGAAACTCTGGTATATGATGTACAGTTATTCAGAAAAGAACCATCAAAACGAATAATGTGTCCTGTTTACAGATATTGGGTATAATTTCTTTGAAATGTAAATCTTTCTTTTAAGTGCTCAATGGATCCTAAAAGCTAAAGTTCAACAAAACTGAGATAGATCACACTGGGGTAACATTTAAGACTAATAATGTGTCCTGTTTACAGATATTGGGTATAATTTCTTTGAAATGTAAATCTTTCTTTTAAGTGCTCAATGGATCCTAAAAGCTAAAGTTCAACAAAACTGAGATAGATCACACTGGGGTAACATTTAAGACTAATAGACCCCAATACAATTATACAAGTATACAATGTTTACAGGGCTTATATCCATATTGAGATGTTATACATGTACTTGCAGGTCAGTGAATGTATGACAGTGATGCGTAGTATATTTGCAAACAAATAATTCTCGGAGTTCGAGTTATCGATCCACAGGGAAGTGGTTGTATCAAGCACTAGTTACTAACTTATTCATTAGAGCTAATCCTAACAATTACTTAGATGATTGATTGGCATAAAATAAATAAAATAAAACAGAGGTTCAGGATTTTGAAAACAATTAGAGAGAAGTTGAGATTCATGGGATTCAAGTATTTAATCACCTAGTGCCAATTATCGTTTGCAATATTTAGTTTGGAATTAAGATTTGTGTGGGAATGCAAAGTGGAATCGAATTACTCCCGTAATCTCTATTCCTAGTGAATTTCCACTCCCGTGGCTTAAACACCCAATAAGATCGAAGATCAGCATTCAATTATTCCTAATTACTACCATCTCCCGATTGGCAACAATCTAGAATAAACTTCCCCTAATAAGTTCCCCTTTCCCAAGGTCCAACCATTAGGTGCAATTGTGTGTACCCTAATTTATGCCCCAACTCCCATTGGTGACACAAACATGGCTATGAAGCTAGTAACTATGGCCATTAATTACAAGCATCAAACAATATTATCACGATTGCAGCACAAGTATTAAACCCAAATAATAATATATTAAAGAAACTGAGAGCTCAAGCACATAGGTTCATAAACACTTTTACCCAAGAATCTCTAAAGAATTTAGCCAAGCATGACTAAATTATATATATCAAATATAAATAAAGAATTACAAATCATCAAAAGAGTACAAGAATTAACCAGACGATTTTCCCAAATCTCCCTAGTCTTCTTCTTGCTTTCCAAGACAACTTGTGGCTCTTGATTTCTCTCCTTCTTGTCTCCAAGAATCTCTGAATTCTCTCGGTCTCCGTCTCTGTCATTAGGGTTGAGGAAGGAGGGATTTATAGTGGGTACAAAGTTGAGATGAAATAGGAATCTTGTACCAAATTGGACTCAAATTCTAATTCCTATATTTAAATAAAGAAATTGTCGTCTTTAATGATATTTAGAATTTGGAAGATTCCTTGAATTGCTAACTTTTAATATGGAGATATGAGCCTTGAAATCCGCGCAATTGATATTAGGAAAAGAGATCTCGCGCTTGTATTGAATTTTGCCCAGCTGCGCCACTTTAAGCGTCTGTTTTTATCCCAGAAACAGACGCATATTCGACGCGTCGAGACTTCCTGTGCGCGAATTAGTTAGCTACTGGAAAATTTCGACGTGTCGAGCCCTTGGCTCGACGCGTCGAGTCCACTGGGCCCCGAACTCATCCAAAATTGCTCCAAACTCATCCTTGAACTCCCCTTGGTCATATCTTTAACCTAAAATGGTTCAAAAACACTAACAAACACCGTAAAATATTCAAAACAAGTGCGAACCATAATTAAATGATAATAGCAAGGAAAACATGTATTAAATAAGCAAAATTAAAGAGCTTAATTACTGTGATGATTCAAAATAACCATAAAAACAAGCACATATGTGATAACATCAGACAGCTATATGAACTGTTTGGAAAGGGATACTTCTCGGCAAAATTGTTGTAACTAGAATGCATACAATTTGGTGGAGCTGGTATTGAAGTGGTAGTTTTTATGGATTAATATAGACGAAGGCTTGAAGAAGGCACTTTGCGAATTGTACTTGTTCCGGTGTGCCTGATATAGTCACCTTTCCACTGTTTTCTCCAAGATGTGGATCTTGCACTGTGATCTGAGCGCCTGAGCTCTACAAAGTATAATTGGGGGGAAAAGGAGAGGAAATGGTAAAAAGTAAAAACCAACTAATAGTACTAATAAAAGAATAGTAGTAGAAAGCTAAAGACTAGCGGGAAGGTAAATTGGGCTTTTACCTCTTTCAATATGGTGAGACAGGAACTTTCAAGGCCATATACAAGATCTATCTTTCGTTCTGGAACCACAATCTCCACAGTTTTATTTGTTACACCTTTCACATCCATTCATTCATCCTCTGAGGAAGAAACCCCTCTAAAAAGTGAGGTCACCGTGGAACTCAACTTAAAAGGAATGGAAATACAAAGTGACCAAGAGATGTCTTTTTACCTGTTTTTTGGACAACAGTTTATGAGGACCACCGAGGTTGGGCACAAATTTTTCAGGAGAAGAAAGGTTAGATACGTGATCCATTTATGGAGGCAAATTTAACTGTTGACTGGATTCATCGTGACTTCTGCTGGGCATTGAAGAGTTTGGATACTGCTCATATGCTACACCCTCAGAGACAGAACTTGGGAAGAAATTCTCCCTCAGCTTACCATTAACTTGAAAGAGAGCAAGCTTTACTTTGTACTCCCCTACAATCTATGGAAGAGGAAACCTTTATATTTCAATTTCTGATAGACCCAATAACCATCCAAGTGACAAAGATGCATCTAAAAGCATTTAAGTTTTGCAGTTTATTTATAGTTGTAGATGTGTCTAAAGAAGTTTGACTGATTCCCTTAATTTCCCGTACAATAGAAACTCTTCTTATGTCAAACAACCAATGTTGCACACCTTAAGAATGCACAATCTTGAATCTGACTTTAGAATGAAATGCTTGATTCTAGTAGTGGTAGGGAATATCCCGACCGACATAGCTTCTCCACGACCGAGAAGCCTTTGTCTTTTTCTCTTTGTCTTTGCAGGTAGCAGGTCGGGCTCCTTGTGAAGAACCCGGTCGGGAGCCGACCGGGAGTTGCCCGAGCGACGGTGTCGACCGCCGAGCGGTAGCCCTTTGGCAAGAGAGCTGACGAAAGACACGTGGCGACTCTCTACGACGACAGACAGGGCACCCGGGAGGATGACACGTGGTGGCTACGTGGAGGGCATGCCGAACGGCTGGAATCCTGTCCCCGGCATAGCGGCTATAAATACCTACAGTAGCTACAGTGTAGGGGACTTTTGGACGATCGATAGGTTGTTGTTAGAGAATCCCGACCGCAGTCAGTCGGTACTCAGAGCAACCAAGTAGATTGTACTTAGGGCCTTTACCGTGATCAATAAAGACATTTACTTGCTTTATTCGGTCCCGAGTTATTCCATATTGCTTACGTATAATTAGCAGTATCAAGTAGTATTAGCAAACTTACCCAACACTGAGAAAAAACATATTGAACCACTGAAGCAATGGTTAACTCAAAGGAAAAATCAACATACTAGGGGGCATGAGAATAAGGTACTTTTAGAACAACAAGGGGATTTAGGGTATTGAGCAAATGACTGGGACTGGGATTGACCAGACAATTGAGGTTGTGTGCTTTGATACCAAATGGTGTAAACTGTGTGCTCTAATACCACATGATGTGAACGGTGTGCTCTGATACCACCTGAAAAGTGAAATGATTGAAGTTTTTGTATTTGGAATCATGGTAGTCCTAATTCTTATTACTTTGGCTAAATTATTCATAACTGCGTATTTCAATACAGACGACTTCTATATTTGATATTAGTATTTCCGTTGTTAGTTCACATTGAATCATATCGTTTGATAATTCTATCCGTTAGCTATCTATTACGTTAACTCACAAAGACTAAAAGACAAATACCTACCCATACTAGAAGCAACTTGAGTTGCATTACTAAAAGACATCAAAGTTTTGTAATGATTCTAATCAAGTAGATTAAAGTGGAGTATGCAATACCTGGATCACTTCATTTTCTTCAACCAAATCATGATGAAGCAGGTCTCTTGGTGAGAGCTTTATTTTAACACCAGATGTGGAACCTATATTAGTGCAAACTTGTCCTTTTTTCATCAATCAGGTATCTGAGCTGATCTGATGTAACTAGAATCTTAGCAGTTACAACTATCCCCTTGTGTAAACATGAAATTAATTCGCATTCAAGAGCAAACTCCATGAATTTCTCAAAAACTCGGACAACAGCAATTTGGGCGGATGGGAACTCTGGATCTCTTTTCTTAAGAAGATTTTCCAGCAATCAATTAACACAAGAATGTGTACCAATTGGGAGACAGAGAGAATGTTAGACAGTAGTCACCTTATGTAACAACACTAGCAATAACCAAAAGAAATGAGTGCTAATGAATGACAATAGTTTAGATGGAAATCAAAGCGAACCTCGAATGAATATATGGTGGCAACACGATCTTTGGACCAATATACTGAAGGACAAAAGCTTATAATAGCTCTTGTGTCATTCTCCAAAGCACGGATAACAGAGAGATTGTTAGACAGCCATCTTGTGTAGAATGCATTAAATCTGGTGGAGCTGGTATTGAAGAAATTCTTCCTCAGCTTACCAGTAACTTGAAAGAGAGCAAAATTTACTTTGGAGTACTTCCCTACAATCTATGGAAGAGGAAACCTTTATATTTCAATTTCTGTAGACCCAATAACCATCCAAGTGACAAAGATGCATCTAAAAGCATTTAAGTTTTGCAGTTTATTTGCAGATGTGTCTT